GTCGACTATTAAATCAGTAATCGTGACTAGTCGACTAATCGTGGCAGCCCTAGTTCCATGTTTTCATTACTTGTGATGGATGGCTGTCATTGTGGTTTGCTGGGGTCCCACAGCTTTAGAAATGGCTTTTACAACCTTTTCCAGACAGAGATCTCAATTACTTTGTTTCTCATTTGTTCTGATGAAATATTGGATCACGGCATGATGTCTGGCTTTTGAGGATCTTTTGGTCTACTCCACTTTGTCAGACAGGTCTAATTTAAGTGATTTGTTGATTGAGAACAGGTGTGGCAGTAATTAGGCCTGACTGTGGCTAGAGATATTGAACTCGGCTTTCCAAAGATGTGATACACCACAGTTAATTTACATTATAATGAAGGAGTGGGGGTTTGAATTTTTCCCCCCTTAATAATAAACATCTTCATTTAGAAACTGCATTTTGTGTTTACTTGTGTTATCTTTGTGTCTACTATTTAAATATCGGGAAGGGCGCAAACACTTTCTCACACTATTATAAACAGGGATGGGAATTGATAAGAATTTAGCGATTCCAAATCCATTATCGATATCGCTTATCGATTAGATTCCTTATCGATTCCCATTGGCTTCACAGAGTCAGCATCATCTCTACGCAGCATATCAATGACAATATATTCATGCAATTTAATTACATGCTGTGTGGTCAAATTTTCCATCTTTGTTGTGATCAGTGTTGGAGTCATTATTGAAAAAAGTAAAGTAAAAAAGTATTACACAGAACACTTAAAAGTAATGCAGTACATTACTTAATTACACCCTAATGAGTACATATGTGATTTTTCTCTTAGTATTTCAGTTTAGACACAAAACAAAGATGAAAAGCAGCACAAAGACACCTCAAAGTGATGGTCACAGTGATTCTACTGTGGAAACACGAACTGGTAGAAACGGAGGCTGCAGCCTGACTGCTCATCAGTTTGTTACCTGTTGAAGTTCAGCAGCAGCTGGCTTCACCAAAATAAAAATAAAAGTAACATCTATATTCAGGTTATAGACCACTCCACTATTTTCCTCCTCTCACATGTGAACTGAAATCAGCTGATTGCAGTGAGAGCGCAAGAACCGATAAGCACTAACAATTCCAAGCAACTGGACTACTGGGAACCAGTTCTTGTAGAGAACCCAATTCCCATCCCTAATTAGAACCCTAACCCTATTTTTTTTAAAAAAAACAAAACACAAACAAACAAGGGGTGGGTTTTTATAATCGATTTATTGATTAAAATCGATTCTGGCTTGGATAACGTGAAATCAATTCATTAAAATCCTGAATCGATATTTTAATATAAATTTATTTTGCCCGAAACGCCAGAATCTCTGGTGAAACCTCACAAATTTTCAACAACCACCAAACAGCTAA